GATATGACGTACAGTTAGGCACTTGCGAGTAGTATCTATGGTAGAAATATGAGATCTAGATCGTTTCTTTTGGTCAACGAATTGTCAGAAACTAGGTGTACCGTTTATTTCCGCCAGGGGGATATATACAGTGCGCATTTGCAGTCCCCTGACCAAGAAAAGGAAGAATTTAGGCAATTAACCGCACACTTTTGGCCGCACTTTAATGTTCGACACAATTGTAACCCATTCAAGAATGGTTCAGCTTCAGGCTGCACACTTAGCCCTAGAGGTGTCAATAGCCATTGTTGACACCTCTGAGTTTTAGTATGTAGACTGTGTGAGAAGCGTATCTCATATAATGACATAAATGCACTTTAGATATAGGTGAATTTTAAAGTTTCATCCAATGAAAATCATCGAAGTTCATCTGTATCTGAAGTACATTTGTGTCATTATATGAAATATGCTTCTCGCACAGTCTACATACTGTTTGGAGGTGTCAACAGCCCTTGGTGACACCTCTTAGTGGTGTCAATAGGCATTCCGATAAATCTGACCAAAAATACATTTTGCACATAAAGAACCATTTCATTCACAGTGAGCATATAATCCCATAAAGAGATGCCGACACAATACACGATAGGTATAAAATGGTGGCTTAACAAACAGGCCAGTCATATGGCCCTGCCTCAAGTCTTTCTTTATCAAATTGTCAACGACATATGGTGCATTATGAGCTGAACGATTATTTTTACACTGGAAATACGTTGAATACAGTTTAGATAAACCAATATCAAAGCCAGACGTGAAGCCGTCAACGAGAAACTGAACAAATTGTTGGTCAGGATGGTTACTTAGGTCTTATTTCAACTGAATAATGGTAACTGGTGTTGTTGCATATAGCTTAAACTCTAAATGTGGAAGGAAAAAGGAGACATTCGCTATTTAATCGGACAGACACCGTAACAATGCTAAAAAGTAAATTATAATACTAGCCATATATTCGAACAACTCGATTACAGTTTTCGCCATCTCGTCCGTCTTGGCGATGCTTTTCAAAACATTTATTTTAAACACGATGATAATTCTAACATGAACTGGTGACAACGACTGACATGCCAAAATTCACATATCTCTTTATCTGCACCATCACTAAAAGCATGAGGACGAAGCAGACGAATAAGATCTGGTTGAATAGTAGAACGTTCACTTGCCACTGTAACAGATGCTGAAATGTCGAGATTTGGACAAGAAGTAGAGCTGTATTTGATGCAGCCACAAACTGTACATGTTTTCGCTTTTCGACCTGCAGCAATTGTACTGTATAATTCAAGATCTTTCGTGCTCCAATCAACGACAATTCCTGCTTTTAATAAAGCTGCACATTTTTTTGCAAATGCTAGGTGGTAATCACAAAAGCACCCATCCTCAAACGATGTGACCATTTCAATTATATTATTTTGGTACATTTGTAATTCACGAAGACAATCAGTTTAACGACCACAAAACACTGATACATAACGGCGAAACTCTGGAAGGTTCAAATTACGGCTCAGTCGAGGATTATAGTGGCTTGTCGCTAAATAGGCTGTGTGCTGGTTCGAGTCCTAATGATTTTCCTCCATCCCATGGTGCAAGATTTACATACTCGCCACTCAAAATTCCAGTTCGCAACTGAGGTAAGATATACACAGTAAAAAATATTGTGTCGCATTTTGTGTCGCAGTAAAATGTGTCACAGTTCCTGTGAGAAAATTGTGTTGCCGTTACTAAGAACTTTCAGACACAGTCCTTGAGGTTATTTTAGGATCTGCTCTCTTCAAAAAATTGCTAAATTTTATGTTTTACTATTTTCAGCAGTCTTCATTAGTATTTTTCTCGGCTTCTTTTCGATTTTGATGTGCTATA